TTTGCCCTTGTGCATGCTAATGACTGAATACCCTTAGAAAGTACACCTTTAACAATTTAGGGTCCCCCATGCCCTTAGGTTATACATTAACATGCATTTAAAATTCATCTTGTCCAAACAGCAATTTAAAGACTTTCTCATTGTTAATGAAATTATAATTATTACATTATTCTTTGTTTGTGTTAAAAGAATAATCTTTATTTCCCTATACTCTTAATTCAGTCAAACAATTCTTAAGTCCCATTGGTTAAAATGCTTCCCATATCAGATACCTGCTTCTTGTTTGTGGGATGACCACTCAGGAAGAAGACCTTACTTTTTCTTATCTAAATTATCTAAGTTTCCTGACCTCTCCATTCTTGTTTCTCCTTAATATTTCAAATGCTTGTAATTAATACATCCTTTGAAGCAACACACTAGCCCCTTACATTCCCACATGTCAGTGTAAGCAATCCTACCACCAACAAAATATTTGTAAAATTAAGTACAGACTCTTTACTGGTTTTTGGAACAGTAAAAAGTCATAAAGCTAAGTTTTCTAGATATTAACTGCAGTTATCTTACATCAATTTGGTAGTCTATTCAAAGTAAATGTCTAGCTGAACATTTAACTTGTTCTATTATGCCTTTGGACCACTGATATTCCACTCCCCCATCCCCATACTGTGCAGATTCCACCACACTGTATAGGTTCCACTATGATAATTTGAATTCACACTGTATAGGTTCCACTATGATAATTTGAATTATATATTCAACAATGTCCCTTTCAAATGCCATCCTTTCCACATCTTTTCCCAATAGTCCTACTTAAATGTGTACTTTTTTTTAATCCTCCAATATACAAAATGATTCTCTTTAGACATTTGTCATAAATTACTAGTATTGCACTTTGACAAATAGATTGATCTTATGCCCATCCGTCATTATAATGCCCTGGACAATAATGTCTCTATCTGACATTAATATGAATACTCCTAAAGGCTTAACTTAGGGTATTTCATAGCACTGAAATATACAGACTGACTTGTAATTGCCTCATTTTTATCAGGCTTATTGACTTATCTGAAATCTAATTGTTAGTGGGGATATCAGGATTAATAATATCAATATTCTACAATGAAATAAGATTGGATTTAGAATGAAACTAAATTTTCACTTGGTCTGCAGAGCCAAAGTTCAAAAGAATATACTGTTTCTGTTATACACTAACATATAAAAATAATAAATTTTGAAAACTTCGAGTGAAATGATCTTGATTTTAGACCTATCAGAAGTATATCTTTTACTTAGTTTCCTTGAGCTTTAACTAACTTATGTATAAGAAGTCAATAATAGCATAATCTGCCCATAGTGATATTAGATAGCAAGATACTGTCTGTTAAAAACAAAGCTATGGCTTGGTACATAGTAAGTGCTCAATAAACTAGTTATTGTGGTTGTTATTTTAATCACCATTCATCAGCCAAATTAGACAATATGTTCCTGAAATCCTTTCATATTACATATCCTCTTTGCATTTGACAATATGAACTGTCATTACAAAATAATAAAAACAAATGATTCAAAAATCAGCTACTGGGGAATTAAGTACATAGGAATAATGTCTAACAAGAAATAGTAAAAAAAAAAAAACTGAAAGTATGTTTCATTAAAGCAAGGTTTACCTTAAAAAATATATTTCGCATTCAGAAAAGAAGACAGTGATTGCCTAATTTTATTTCCAGTGAGAGGTCAAACTTTCATAGAAAATTGGGTGTTAAACAATAGAAAATAAATTCCATATCTACATTGGGACTACAAAAGGAAACTTTTAAAAGATACAGCTGCATTGTATATTTCTGGGATGGTATAAGTAAGACCTCAGTCAAATAAGATGGGATTTGAGGAACTCCCAAGACCCCCTCTGATTACTTCATGTTCTTACCTGAACTTTCATCCAGGCTCTCCTCAGAGACATGCTCATCCTGATGGACCCACTCGCCGTTGCATTTGAAGAATATCTGCATGGCTGGCCGTGCTTTGCACCTCAGTGCGATGGGGTTGCTCTTAATGATATAAGCATCATCTGGCTCTTCTATGAAATGAGGCAGTGTCCCAGGAGCTGATGGGATGGAGTCAGGAAGGACTTCACCATTTTCAGTTCCTGTGAGATTGAAGAGGACATTAGAATGGAGTCTGTGTTAGTGGTAAAAACATCAGATCACAAAGCACAGTCCAAACCTGCCCCTAAAAGTCTGACCCAGAACCTTTCATCATATTACTACAGCATGCCTATAAGGTGTATGTAGGTAAATTATACTTTAGAGGGTGAACCAACATCAAATGTTACCTTTAGTGGTACACACCTCTAGGGTTTCTGGACAAAAAAAAAAAAAAAAAAAAAAAAAAAAATGATGAATGGGAGGTCCATCAAATGAGAGTTGTGAATCTGCATGTTCTTTGTTAAAAGAATGGAGGTATGTATCCATGGGGTAAGAGCTGGATCCAAGACTCATTCAGGCAAATGGTCACTTCAAAAGATTCAATGAGGTTAACAAGCTGCCTCAACACTTTGTAACAATGATGGGATTGTATTCTCCATAGATATGTGTGAATATTGGTGATATTGTTGGAGATGTTAAGTCATAAAATGTGTCAAAAACTCCAAATGATCCACTTTTATCTTTGAAACTGAAGATTATCTGATATTCTAACTTGGGTAGGGTTTTTTCCTAAGGAGTCACCAAATTAACACCTCTTCTAAAATGAACACACATTCTGTTGGGTTCTGCTTGCCTTGCTCCCTACTCTCACATGATAAATCACACTACCAACCCAAAGAACTAAAACAAATCTCTAAAAGACCTGCTTTGTTGTTGTTTGAGTTTAGGACCCACAGTTTCTTCTCCGTAGACAAGAAATATTTAGATAGTTTCACCTACATTTAAGGAACTATGTGCAGAGAAAACACTGTCAAAAGAAGAGGAGGAGCCAAGACCTTTGCTTCACTTATCACCTTTGACTGCACTTATCAAGGACATAAGTCCCACTGAGTCCAGAGAAGACAGGACTGCAGTGTAAGAAGACAAACAAGAGGAAAGAGAACTTAAAGTCTTCCAATGAACATTCCAGAGACAGAACAAAGTAATGAGGATTCCAGTAGCAAGACCTGGTGTGTCCTTGAAAGGTTTGTTTCTACTCAAAGCAAACCAATCTGTAAGACTACGCTGTGCAAATAAAACAAGTGAAGCCCTGCAAGAACAATCCAGTTCATTGGTAGAGACCTAGGAGAGAGGATATACATCTATCCTGTGACATAACGTGGCTTTCTTTACATCATCAGGGTTATTCTGAACACACACAGCCTCTTAGTCAACACTAATCAATAACTTCAGTCACTAAGCAATGTCAACGGTGAACATAATTCACCATTTTATGGCTAAAGTCCTTAAAGGACTTCAAGTGGACACACAAGCCATGACTGCCTGTAACAGGTACAGGTTTCATGGACTCCACTCCAACTCCAGATACTGGAACTACTAATCCCATCAATACCAAGGAGAAGCATGCTGAAACATGAGTGTGGAGCTGAGCAGCCAGATTAGGATAAAACTGGACATGTGGGCCCTGGGTCTCTTGTCCTGGTGGTTTGTGGCTGGTTGTTTGGCGCTCAATCAGTTTTCAGCTGATGGAGTGGAGTCCAAGTCAGCAGAACTGTTAGGACATTCTAGGTAACTTGTATTTCCCTGGGTTGTTCCTTTACCTTTCTCTTTTGTAAATAAATCCATTATTGAACCTTTTTGTGTATGTCCATAGCACGATTGAATCTTTAGTGTGTGGGTGAGGACTCACAGATAGGCAACCCAATTCACATTGGGGTGCCCTGTAACATGCCAACAGTTACATTTTGCAAGGAAGAAAATTCAAAACAGATCTCTTGCCACTGGAAACACACAAGCATATTTGTTCACTGCGATTGATTAAACATAAATAGTTCATTCTCTTCAAATTCTTTCTCCATTAAGTACATCAACTTAAGGGGGGGGGGAGTCTCGTATAACAAATATTTCATCATTATAAGCTCTAAAATGCAGTTATAAAAAAGGTAACTCATGTGTAGCTAAGTACCAAAAAAGATCATAAAACAAACATCCTAAATAGACAGCAAACAGTTTATGTCACAAAAGTATATTAAAAGTCACTCAGAAAATGTGTGTATATCACATAGAAAAAGAACAGTTTTAGAATAGACTCTCAAAGGTTCTTCATTTTAATGTTTTAAATTATATTTACAATGGACTTCATAAAATATATATTAATTCATTTTGTTACAGACTACTCATACTACTTTCCCTCTTCAATAAATACCAAGTCCCCTCAGGCTTTTTGTAAATCTATGCATTAGAGGAAATGACAAAGGTATTAAAGAGATTTTTATATTGGCATCAAATGCCCCACTGTCATCAGGGGCTTGAGTTCTGTCCAAAGTAATTCATTATTGCATAAAAGGATCAACTGATAAGGACTATATCCCCACCCTACTGTGAAAGCCCGAATTAACAACCACAGGCTAACACTTTGAATGAAGCATTGTTCTTTAACTAGCAACAAAGCCATGAATATTTGAACTATCTGAACTGGTGGAGGAGGGGGAGTGTCATAAATAACAATCTCCAAGTAAATACTGAAAACACATTTTTCTGGCATAAATAAAATGACAAATAAAAGCAGCAGATCATTAGATGAATCAAGTTTTAACTCTCCAATTCACAAAGCAGAGAGATCTAAAAAGAATTAGGTTACCCTCCTAGTTTAATAAATGCCCTTTAGGTAAAGTGACATGTCCAGCTTTCATCTGAAACCCTGTGCAGGAAGGAGTGTATAAGTTTGATGGTAAGTGCTGTATCTCAAGGACCTCCATCAAGAATCAATCTTAATGTTGGGGGCAGTGGGGGCGAAGGCAAAAGGCAATACTGAATCTTAATAATCACCAAAGTAATGTCATCATGTCTACAGGAAAAGGACCAATATTCAAGACAAAGTTTGATTAGGGAACCAGTGCGAAGGTGAGAGGCAGTAGGTATATATTTACATGTTACCAGTTATCTGCATTCCCTCAAAGAAATGTGAAAGTTAAAGTATGATGCATTTTTCTCTGTTCTTCTTTCTATAGTGATACTGGAAAGGGGGTTTACCTTATTTTGCCTGTTCCCTATCCTCTTTACCCTCCCCTATCTTCCTCCAGAACTTAGGTCTGAATTCAGAGTCAGCAATGCCTCACCTTCATAAGAAATTCTCACAGCAAGTAGGCTGACTACTCCAGGGAGCTGCCTTCCATGAACAGCAGAAAGGAGCTTCTTTCCTTATACCTCACAACTGGGAGTCCCTTTCCTTTCTCTGACCCTACACATCTCTCCTGCTCAACTCCCCTCGTAAATTAGAACTGAATTGTCCAGAAGACTCTCAGGGTATTCAAGCTAAAAAGAAAGGGAAGAAAGGAATTGAAGCAGGGATGCTTAAGGGTCTGATACATTACTTAAAATCCAGTGAAAAGTCCTAGCAACTGGCGGGACAGATATATGAGTGACCCAGCCTGATGTTTTTCCCATAGCACTTTCTTGGAAGAAACTGGAAAACTCATTCTAATTGTCTGCAGGTAGGTATGGCCATGTGACAACTATGTAAGTAAATGAGTCATAAAGAGATTCTTTCCCTGCCCCTCTTCGCTTGAGTTCTCGCTTTGACTGGGGAAGATCTCTCAGGCAAGGTAGACAAGAGGCACAGTGGTGCCAGCTCTGTCAACACTGAGAGGATGAACCAACACCAGGTGCAGCCACCTTCAGATAATTTGCTACATTTTCTATTTAAACTACTGTAGTCAGATGTTGTGGTCTTTGACAGAAAACACTTCTCAATGATACCACTAGATCTTCCTTCTTAAAGCCAGCACTCCAAGCATTACTGAATTCCACTGCCATCCATGTTAATGAGCTTGGTAAGCTAAAATAAGGTTTTTGGAAATTATGTGAGCAGGAAGCAAAAATTAAGAGCTTCCATGCCTGGAATGATTACAGGCCACAGGAATTAGCCTTCTACATGGATTAAGGCACTGAAGCTTCATGACTTGCTCAGGAGGGCAGTGCCAATCTCCCAGTTTACAATTGAGAAGGCGCTTTGAATGGTCTTCCAGAATAGTGGGTTAATAGAAAAAATCAGCAAATGCAGGCCCAAGTCTGAATGCAAGTCTCTGATTCACAATTCTATTCATCAGGCCAGAAAAGTAGACCCTTAGTGGGTGGCAGGGCAAGGCACCGAGACCTGCCATGTGGCGAGTGTGCTATGCATAAAACCCAGAGTAGGTGTTATAAAATGAAAAACCATCTCAGTGGCATCTCTGATCAAGGGCACTGTTTATCTTAAACATCACTCCATTATACTGGCAGTACGACTGTGACTCCAGGTTGTGACAGGGCTGTTAGGGACACACCTGGAGGTCTTGGAAAAGAAAAAATTATGAGAGAACAGCACAGCAAGGACCCAACTAGCAATAGTCAATGGATTGGGCACAGTCACCAAAGTCAGACAGACACAGACGTCCAACAGTAAGTCTTGTTTGAGGACAGAATAAGATTTTTTCAAAGTTTCATTCAAATAATTTACCTTATGCAGGAATATTTCACCATGAAAACCCCAATTAAAATACAGGAGCTGAACAGGAAATAGTCAAGTTCAGAAAAAGGGACGGAGGCCAGTCATTTTGTCATGGTTAGTCACACAGCTCTGCCAGTATTTAAGCACTTGTTCTAATCTACAATGGCCCTGGGCACACTGGGATTCCCAAAGCCCTGGACACTCAGCACAGTAGGCAGGCATTTCATGGGTTAAACTGGAAATGAAGTGGCTTTAACAGGTTTTCAGAAATCCTAAATTAATTTTGCATTTATTTCTGAGATGACAGTACTTTGAGATACATTTCCATTTCTTCTCTCTCCTATCCCTAAAATACGGTTATCTTTTCACAGGTCTAAAATGTTTGTATTTATATTTGACCCTGTCATAAGCAATGGCTAATTCTGTTAAAGGAAATTTAGAATGAAAGAACCTAACATCAAGTCTAGGTTAGTTTGGGTTTAACACTGAGTTTGCATTTTTGTAATCCATAAA